ACCCGTAATAAACCCCTGTTCCACTGTTTCATGTTACGCTATATTGGAAGATAGATTGAATCTACTCTGGAGAGACTGGATACGGACATTCCCAAATAGATTGGATGTTCTGAAAACTGTTGATGAAGTAGCTGGACTGCAGGAAAGTCTGAACCAAAACGCGGCTGTTTTTCAGAGGTTGGGGAAGCTGAAAATCATTCAAGCTACAATAAGATTGAATGAAGCTGCCCATCCTATATTCATCAACGCAAGCAAATTGACGTATGTTGTAAGGCCCAAGCTTGAAAAAATTCAAACCGCTTACAAACTCAGGGAATTATAGTATCTGTGCAAATTTCCAACTGGGGAACACCAATCGTATCATTGGTCAAACTAGATGGCTCCGTGCGAATTTGCGGCGACTACAAAATGACTGTCAACCAGTCTTCTAGGATAGTCAAATATACATTACCTCACATTGAAGACTTGTATGCTGTAATGGTATGTGATGAAAAATTCACCGAACTTGATCTCAGTCACGCATCTTCACCAATAGAGCTTAATGAACCTTCCCGAGAATGTACTCATATTACTACGCACACAGGACTTTAACAATACGCACGTTAACCTCTTGGCATCAATTCTGCACCCGGAATCTTTCAAAGAATTATCGATGATTTACTAATGGATATACCTTTCACTTGTGCGTATTTGAATGATATTCACATCTGCGGACACTCCGACAAAGAAAACCTACCAACACTCGCTGTTGTGCTTGAAAGATTGGCACAAAACGGACTTAAATTGCCAAGGTCTATTTGTGAGTTCCTCTCTTCATCTGTGGGATATATTGGATATAGGCTTGATAAGGTTGGGTTTCAGGTTCTAGAAGACAAGATAAAACTCATTTTAGAAAGCCCTGAACCGAAAAGCGGTGATGAGCTCCATTCGTTTCTAGGAATACTATCTTATTACTGTCGTTTCTTGCCTGGCGCGTCCACTCTTACCTATCTGAATGAGTTACTCCATAAAAACCTGCAGTGGTATTGGGGTCCTCGACAAATCAGTGCCTTAACCAAGGCCAAACAACCCCTCGCCTCATCACTAATGTCAGTTCCTTAGAATCCTGGGAACCGCCCAGTTCTCCAGTGTGACGCATCTCCTTAGTGTGTGGATTCGGTCCTGTGCCACCAAATGAATAAACAGACCTTGCGTCCCATAGCGTTTTTATCACACATTCTGTAACCAGTGGAAATAAACTATTCCCAGCTAGAGTAGGTAGCCTTATCAGTTATTTTCGGTGTGAGAAGGTTGCATCTGCACCTGTGGGGGAGTTATTTTGAACTTCATACAGACCACCAGCCATAGATATCATTGTTAGGAGAGACCAAAGATATACAACGAATGTCTTTACTAAGAAGGCAGATGTGGGTTCTGACGTTAAGCGTAAAAAATTATAACAGTACCTACCTTTCTGGTGCCCGCAATCGCACAGCTGCTGTCGTAAGCCATCTACCAGTTGCAGGAATTTCACAGGAGCTCGATTACCCTGTGAATTGGTTCATCTGATGCAACACCTAGATACAACCCCTATACGAAGCTCCACAATCTGTCAGTGGACAGATCAAGCCGCAGTTCTTTCAACAATCAAAAGATTCTTAACAGCCAGATGGCCTTCCGGAGGAACCACCGGTTTGCAACCATTCATAGCACACACAGAGGAACAGAGCTTATTCGATAGTTGTGTTTTCTGGGGTTCCTGGTTGGCTCATCCTAGAAAGGCTCGTGTACAGATCCTTCACGAGCTCCATGACGCACATCCAGGTTTCGTGAGAATGAACTCATTAGCAAGGGGATACAGCTGGTGGCCAAGAATAGCTTAAGCTATCGAGCACATACTGAATAATTGTGATACATGTCAGACACACCAACACAGTAAACCGCCCGGTCCAGTACATCCGTGGCGCTGGACTGACAAGCCGTAGCAACGGATGCACGTCGGCTACTTCGACCTGATTAATGGAACCCTATTTGTGTTACCCATCGTACCGCACTCCAAGTGGCTTGAAGTGTGTCCCGTTACGCAAGCGAAGTCCGAAACACCATTGTTAAAATATGTTCTTCATTCGCTGCATTCGGTATTCCGGAGACCCTATTAAAGGGATAACGGGTCCCCTTCTGTTAGCACGGACTTCAACCGATTCGTCATTAGCAACCGGGATTCAGTATCTAAAATTAGCGCCTTATCATCCAGTGTTAAACGGGTTGGCAGGGCGGGCGGTATAGTGATTGAAACGAGGACTGTTGAAACAGCATGTAGGAACCGTACGAACGAAGCTGTATGGTTTCCTATTTGCCTATCGTGCCACACCCACTGAAGATACGGGTAAGTCAACTGCGAAGCTGATGTTTGGCAGAAACCTCGGGACAAGACTGAACCTACTTTTTCCTTATCCACAAGTGGGGATAGAAGAACGACCGAAGAGGTCAGTGTCTTCTGATGAGATGAAGAAGGATGCGATCTTTGTGGAAAATGATGTGGTCCACGCTTACTGGCCACAAGAAACACACTGGCAATCTGCCACCGTAATTGGTTCCTGGGGTAGCTAAAACGAAGTCCAACATCCAGACGACCGGCTTATTCGTCGGCACTCAAACCACGTTCGTTCACAGTGTCCAGACACACTAACCGAGACGCAGACCGGATTGTGCGCAGACAAAGCACGAGTCACTGAGACCGAACCATACGCACAGGCTAGTGAAAAGTTGCCCAGGTGATCTATGCGCATCCCTAAACCAATGGATCGTTTAGAGCCGGGAATGTGATGACATCTATGGGGTAATGGGTGTCACGTGTGCACTGATGGTCAGGCCCTAACCCACTCTGTTGGATGAACAACACACATCAATGGACGCGTGCACGGACGCACGCACAAACCAAGCTTATCGTGTTATCGCTGAATGCATGCCGAGGTGATCTGTCAGTTGTTAACTACACAGTGTCCTGTCCAAAATTGTGTTCGATACAGTGGGTTATGAGCCCCATAGAACATTCGTTTTCTACATTACTTACCGTCGCTACTAGGGATCAGGACGGTACAGCAAAATTGCCTACCGGGGTGCAGTTTCTGCGAAGACACTGAGATGAAGAGGAAGCGAAGAGGGACATTTGAAGAAAAGACAGTCATTTTTGCTAAGGTAGAAGTAAGGGATGTCAGATGATTTGACAACCGAGCAGTCCTTGTTGTCGGCACTTTTGATAGTGCTCAGCCCGTTTGTAGTATTAAAAGATGGAACAGAAATGTCAACGTGGTTTTATCTGTGGGGTGTCCAAGCATCAGCACCCGGTATAATCATTTCATGGGCGGTGTTGATGTTCTGGACACACTGATTGCCTATTATCGGGTCCATATCCGGTGCAGAAAATACTACCTCAGGTTTTTCCATTTTGTCGACAAGGTCAACAGCTGGTTACACTAGTGACTTGCCTGCGACTCCCTGGCGAGTTGACGATGCGTTGTCTCATTTGCATTTGCATTTTATAACTTGTTAGCCAGGGGCTACAAAACGCTATAAAACGGTGTCTTACCAAACTCCCAACCGATGTATTTATGGAGTCATACTTTTAATACTCGAACATTTCCGCTATTCTACATAAGTATATGGTGAGTCCACCAAAAGGCTTTTCACTTGAGCGTGCAATTTACTTTTCGCAATAATTTCCATCCCACGGGACTTGTTGTGCATTGCTTTTGTACCCGTAATACACCAATATTCCTTTGTCTCATTGTTCTTATCGCACTTTGGTAACCTCTAAAAGACGACCGTATATTTATCTGAGCGTCTTGCACCTCTTTATATGAGTGAATATTGGATAACCTGGACAGAGGGTGGACCTCAAACCACCCCTACCCTATCACAGTCTGGAGTCTACGTGTGATCCCGTCGTAACCTTAATCACTCGGGACAGTTCCACGTTCAATAAACTACTTGAAGTGACAGTGACTTGCAACGCGACTACCTGTTTACCTACATCCTTCTCGTCGTGACTATATTCCAAGTTTGGTTCAAGTGCTACAATAATCATCTACTCATTCACTCGGCCTAAGGAAACTTTTGTGTCAAAAGCCAAACATTGCCCACAAAACATACCAACCAGTTGTTTTCAGACTCTCCTGAACTCTTGTCTTCTCAATCGGTTCCGTGCCTATTTCAATATTTCGAGTGATGCATTCCGCATATACCATCATACTACCTTGTACCCAGTACTCAACTTAGACCACTTCTAATGCAGTAAGTTACTAGCTCGCTTCGGTTAATGAAGGGGATACTTGGGGTACTCTGTCCTCCGAACGGCAAAAACACCCAAATCAATGAAGGGTGGAAAAGTAGTTACGTTGGTGTTTGCGGTGCTCCATGGCCTACAGGCCTTGAGACTAGGGTAGAAGCTTTTAGCCCCAACGAGAGACAGATGGAATATGCATTGCCGAGGATTCACGAAGGCATGAAACGGTCAAGTGTGCTTAATCGGATGTGTAATGACCATGTGACTGTTTGATGAATTTGTCTTGTTATGTAAATCTCGCACTTTCTTGTAGTCTCCAAAACATCAGCCCAAAAGCAGCGCAACAGTGGGAAATGATTGTGCTACTGTCATCTGCTCTGAGTCTTATGTTACTTAGGTGGCCACATAATTGTGTTAAAAACGAGCTAAAGGCGCTTGATGCGATGATCACACTGTGTGCAACATTGCGACGGGCGCCAAGTAACACAAAGGAGCTGGTTAAAGTGCAACACGTGGACAAGTTCTGGTTGGTGCAGCGCAGGTAACCTTAAATAGACATGTATATTAGAGACACCAATCACCCTAGGAGGGATTCTTGAATTTTGTTGCAACGTAAGGTTTATTCGGGACTTTAAACCTGCCAGCGTCTTTCCACAGAACGGTACTCCTTATGTCACCAAGCTGTGCCCTGTGGGGTATTCGGTAGGCACATCAAGATTTTAGTACGGAAATGAACTCAGCAAACCTTTGCGTTCCGGTGCAAACTAGCTACTCTCGGTTTTATTCCAAGCGGTGGTGCATAAGGATTAATTTGGATTCCAGAGAGTGGCACAGTAACGGCATTTGCCTTGTCATATATAGGTCGACACTTGTTTTCTAGAATGTCTTCCGCAACCCCGGTTTCGTTCATCCTCTGGTTTTGTATCCAGTTCAGTATTCTCGCAGAAGCCTTTTGTGAACCCTTGTGTCTACCTAGACACCCAACCTTGTATATGCCTTTAGCGATCCGATCCTCTTCCAGACGGAATGCCATTTCCTCATCCCAGTCCCCAAGACCGATATTGATATCAAACTGAAGCAACTGAGGAGCACGCATCCATGGTGAAAGTGCAGTGACCACCTCATCCAAGCTGTAGTGAATTTGAATCATTTTGGGTAAGTTTCCCATTGCACAATTTGCCGAATGGCTAACAGCTTCGGATACAGAAAATACAACCAGATGGCAGGCATGACAGCTGTATGTTTCTAGCAAAGCGGACGGTTGTAAGAATATGCGCTCGTATCGCTCAGCCTTAGGACAAGGGTGTCCTAAAAACACCTCAAACACTCGGAAAATCTCCATACAACAACCACACTTAAACTTAGATTGCCGGGCCGGCAAGTATGGATTACGAGCAACCTCAGAAGTCCATCGTTTTAATGCCAAACGTATGAGCTCCGGAGAATTTAAACGAATAAAAGTGAATACGAGTGCTGAGCAAGACTTGCTGTGCGTCACACACTCTTCCATGGAAGTGAACAGGCAATGACACTCAGTGCAGAACAAAGTCAACTCCAAATTAGTAGGTGTTATCAACTTTCCAGCGACACACGGGTGGTAGAAATACTCCACGAGGTTTGGTTGTAAGAAACCACAATCGAAACAATTGACAGAAAGATGAGGTCCCTCTGGTAAGGGGGATGGTGAACGCGGAGGTCCTCCTGGGGGCACACCTGGCAGCCGTTGTTTAACGGAACCGCCATGATGAAGATGATAATCGAACTCGAAGCAATGTCGGCCCAGTACGAACTGTTGACAAGCTAGCTCCGTTAGCGTAATGGCAAAGTCAATACAAAACGCTCGATCTTCTCGACAATAAGGCAGATGCAGACCGTATTGTTGTTCATTCAAGAAAACATAATGACACCATATACACGTTTTCAGACGTCGGATAGAGGCAGGCAGTAGTAGTGCAAACTGAAAGCAGGAATGTAACAAATAATTGATTCTCGTCTTGAATTTTCCACCGCAGTTGCTGCACCGGACTTTGAACTGCCAATCTGGGTCATGCGACTTGCTTTCCCATTCGGTGCGACGAGCCCAAGCCAAGTAAAAGTCAAAGTGTTCGGCATAGTCGATGGGCAGTACCTCTTCAACTTCGCGATATTTTCTTGTGTAGCATGGTTTGTGGTCATTACATTCATGCGTCGCGTAGTCGGCATGCGAGTAGAAAACTTGGCTGCAAGTGCGACAAGCAAACGCCTGTGTTTGTCCGAGATGAAACCGCGCCTGATAATACTTCCTCCAGCAAAAGTGTGCCATAAACTGAGTAAAGGAGTTAAGAACCAAGCGACAAACAGGACAACGAAATTCACTGAATCTGTATTCCGGCCAACCTTCGCCTGTCCATACTAATTTTCTTTTTGCATTGCGAAGCACAATGGGTGGAACTTCTTTTAAGTCACGTTCCGGTGACTTCCTGTTAAGTGGACTTGTCTTCTTGCCCTTATCCTTCTTACCACCTGGTGAACTCTTATTTGGAGAGTTCTTGTTGGAACCTTTTTTAGGAGATTTCGGGGGCATCTTGAGGTCATAAATTACAGGATTAGAATTCGCATTCTATACAGATTTGAGGCTATAAGCTAAATAAAGCTGGTCGGTTAAAGTCTGGTTTGAAGAGAAGTTTCGATTTATTAGTAGGAATCGATGTGAGATCAAATGCGTCACGCGACGTCCCAACAGCTGGGAAAAGACTGCATGGGCAAATTTGTGATGATGTTGGCATACCCGCTAGACAGTCATTTGCTCGGAGATGAAGCGCAGTCCGCATGACTGGGGCTCGAGATGTCGAATTTAAAGTAACTGGTGGAAATGATATTTGGCGAAATATTTAGAGCGGGTTATCACTTATATTCGTTTACATTGTGACCGTGAGTCAGGCAGCGGCAAGACACTTTCGGATCAGCAGCAACTCCTGGAGGTCAAAAATTAGTGAATTATGCCTTCGGAATACGTATTCGCTTAAATTATCTTTAACTGGTGCCGTTTGCAAAATGGCGCTCTTGGTCCAAGAAACAATTACGATCAGTTAGCACTAGTTTGATCACCTTCAACTGCAAAAGAGGTGGAATCAATGTACATGTCACATAGCACCATACCTTAACTGTGGTCGATTAGCTCTAAACAGGCGGGCCCCTTTCCTGACTTCCACTGGTGACATTTCTTGCCGCTTTCGAGTAAACCGATTCCTATATGATCAGCACATGCGCTAAACTGAAAAAATTGTATTAAACAGCGACAAGTGGATTCTTGTATAATCTTTGAGCAGCTGCTCATCGGGAATAGTAATTGAGGCCGAACATTTCGATAAACCAAATGACTCAACATTCATGATTATGGAAAACAGAGGGAAGGCTTTGAGGGTGTTGCAGGTAGGTAACTTGGTTTCCTTTTATTGGACTCAACGGGTTTTTAAATGAACCGATAGGCTGGCTGAACAACCTCCTCGTGGTGCCAGCTGGGTGGTTCGGGTGTAAACCGTTCCAGCAAATGGTTCGGCGGCAGTGTTCCAGGAGGTGGTGGGTTTTCGCTTGGCAGGTCTTCTCCCTATAAAAGCCACAAATGTCCGCTTATCAACACTGTGACTTGGCGAATGTGACACGCCACAAACTAAAGTCACTGTCTCGTGGAAATCTGCGTAAGTATATCCAATCCATGGACCTCAATCGACTATTCTTACATCGGCGACGCTATCAAACAGTTACAAATACAACGGCCCACGTACGAGCACGGGATACAAAGCTACACATATACGCAGTTACATACACATCCATACACGCATTCACCCTTAACGCAAACGTGTATATTTGAACCTTTTGTTTACACCTTGTTGTCATAACGTGATCATGCCTGTAAAGGCGTGCCTCGCGTTGTCGAGAATAAAAAGTTTGTTTATTTAGTTATTTATTGTAATATGCTTGGCTCCAATCGAAAACTCATGATTCCAGAAGTGCTTCTCCCTATAAATTCGGGTTAGCTGGAAAACGGACAAATATACAAAAACAGTGCAAAGGTATCATGCAGTAAAACATCGTTTGCGGTCTTTGGAGGATGGAAAGCAGCCAAGTTTAGGATTATGACCCTCCTCAAAGACCCCACCAATAGCTCACCGAATGACGTCAAGCAGCATTTCCTGAAACAAAAACTGCACAGTTGATATCCTAAAGCCGAAGTCAAGGCAATTAACAGTTTGCAGAAAAGAACCAGCTCCCACTGAACCCTACAAAGTGCCACCTGCTGACGGTGCACAACAGCTTCGTCAACACATACCTTTTGGGGCAACGCGTCATGCAACACGTGACTAGTGAACGCGACTTAGGTATAATCGTGCAAGAGAGTCTTGGAAATTCGCTCCAATGTTCGAAAGCAGCAAGTGTAGCGAACTTGAACTTGAGACTTTTGAGGCGAGCTCTCGGCACTTTTGAGCGACAGCTAGTACCATTGTTGATTAACTCCTACATTCGTCCTCATGTTGAATATGCAATTCAGGCCTGGTGTCCATGGTTAAAACGAGATATCCGCCTCTTGGAACAGCCCCAAAGAAGAGCCACAAAAGCAACGCGTGGACTATCCGGTATAAGTTACGAAATGCGTCTTCGTGTACTCGGTGTGTTCTCATTAGAATACGGACGGCTTCGCGGAGATCTTACTCTCACATACCGGATATTAACCGAAAGCGTGCATCCATGTACGTCACTGTTGACTCTAGCCCCATACAAACAAAACCGAGGCAACCACCTGAAACTAATGACGCAACACTCTCGTTTGAATTGTAGAAAGTATTTTTACTCACTTAGGATCTGTTCACACTGGAATGCATTACCAAACTATGTGGTGAACGCACCAGACATGACGACATTCGGAAGACTCTTAGATTTTCATCTTAGTGATAAACGATACACAACACTTTGTTAAAGTGCAATTATGTAACCACTGATACTTTACGTTCCACGTTGGAACATTTTGATTTTAATTTTCTTTTGCATATCCATCCTGTGGGTCTTGTAAAGTTATGCTTTTTATCCCATCATACACCATTGAACCATTGCTTGTTGTGACAGAAACTGTGGCCTGTGAATAGTGTCACATTATAGCAGCCATTAGGCACTTCTTTCTATCTTAACTCTCCCTTCTGTTCATACTCCCTCACATTACTCAACTAATGTAGATGAAGCTTCGAAAAGTCATGTGGAGCCATGTCGATGCATTAATCTTAGTTTTCTCTTTGTTAGTCATATTCGATAGTAACAGAAACGAGGTCAGCGGCAGATTCTTGCTCAGGAAACGGGATAGAAGAGGAGAGTGAGGGGAGAGAAAAATAAGAAGAGGGAGTATTGTCGATGAAGTCGAGAGTTGGTACGCTCTGGTTGCTCATTCCGAGACAGGGATTGTGTTCGAGGTGCCCTACCTCTAGCTTTTAACTCAGCAGTCACTCACACAACGCAGTGGAGGATTTGTAGGTTCGCTTGAGGGACTCCGCCCGGAAACTTTGTCGCAATAGCCTGACCCACAAGTCAAGCTCTGGAGTTTGATTGCAGACATTGGGATCCGTTCGAGGTCTGTCACACAGCAACTGAAGATTTGGCACAATTCACGTGTTTTACGACCGTATTACGTTACGGCCAGCCGCAGGTGGGAGTTGGCGGATTTGTATCAATTTGACAAGGGGCAACTTGTCTTGAGGCGGGCGGTAGAAAACTATTGAGCTCCAGTAGTTGCCCTTCCACCGGGAGCGAAAATGCCTGACGCTCGTGTTCTACTCCAATCGAGTATGAGCGAATAACGCGTATACCAGTTGTTTCCCCTGGCTAGGTTTTAAAGGAAGAGACCCATCGACCTCTCCAGAAATTCCGAAGGTGATTCAATTGTGTGACTGTTAATATGACCCTTAACTATCGACTTGTCTGGTATGAGTGGGTCCGTAGGCACTTGAAAAGTGCCACCCAGCGTAGCTCAATGGGTCACGGAAGTACACAAACAATCGCAACAACTTAAGGTCCGGTCTCTTTGCGCTGAAAGATAGCTAAACGCCCCTTGTCAGTGCCACAATCTGGTCACTCCACGCCGAAAACCCCCGAAAGTCACCTGGCTGGAATTGGTCAGCAGACTCAATGGACTGGTCAAGGCTTCTTCAAAGAGAAAGGTTTGCAGTGGGCCTAAATGGTTTCTTTAGAAGGGAGTTTAACTTGAAAATGGATGGCAATACGCAACACACCCTGTTGAGAGAATAGATTTGCTCCAACGCCGGATACTTTGGACAACTACGTAACCCAACGTAACCACTAGATTAGGCTGCTCAGAAGAAAAAGTCGCAAATCAGCAGAAAATGGAGGAACCTTCTAGTGCTAACCACAAACTGTTGCACAAGCATGTCAATGGCCTTCGGACTGGCTTGCCGAACAACCTCCTTATAGTGCCAGCTGGGTGGTTCGGGATTATCCCGTTCCAGCGAATGATTCGGAGGCAGTGTTCCAGGACGTGGTGGGTTTTCGCCTGGCAAGCATTCTCCCTATAAAAAGTCACATATGTCCGTTTAACAACACTGTGACGTGGTGGATGTGACTCCCCACTAAATAAAATCACTGCACCTTGCCTCTTTCTGGGTGGCATTGTAATTCAAGTGTGTGTTGGGCCCCTGGTCCTAGGCGGTCCTAAAGGCGTATGAACCACTCCTTTGGTCACCGGCTCCCAAGGGGTTGCAATACCCTCATATCGCCCTGTTGCCTTGTAAGTTTACTCACTCTGCGATCCCCTTCAGGTAACACTAGCAGCACTTTCTCATTGCGCCTATCCGGTGACGATGCAGCTTCGAACACCGGCCAAGCTGGTGTTGGTATTGCCCTGAGTCCCCGGGATGAAACTGCTCTGGTTGATTGGATTCCAATCAGTAGCCGGATGTGTGCGATCCGATTGGCTGGCTCGTTGAAAACATCAAAGTCGCGTGGGGCTAACAGGTGTCTATTCGTTATCCTTGCCTATGCACCGACAAACTGTAGCGATGACTCGGTAAAGGACGACTTCTATCGTCAACTGAACTAGGTCCTTATCCACAGAAGAAGCTCGGACACTGTAGTGCTGGCTGAGGATCTGAACGCTCAAGTTGGAAAATTATCCACAGATGAGCTGCATCTGGGCGGCCAACATGGTATAGGCTCCCGTAATGATAACAGTGAGCGGTTACTTCATTTGTGTGAGGATGCTCGCTTATTTCTTGCGAGCACTAATTTACGACACAGCACCCGCCGGAGGGTGACTTGGCGCCCACCAGCATCGAACCAGCCTTGGACGAAAATCGATCAAATTGCGATAAGAGAGAGGGTGCGGTGGAGAGGGTGCGTCCAGAACTGTCGCTCGATTTGGAGCACAGGTGTTGACACCGACCATGCACTTGGATGTGCTGACCTGCGGATGCGGTTTGGCGGACGCCTACGACGACGTTGTGAGCGCATTTACACCAGCCAACTGGCGAAGCCAGCTGTTCTGAATGCCTATCAAAGTACGTTGTCATGCGGGTTGGATAAACG